AATAGAGTAAGATATAGGTCAGTGTGGGGAAGAGAGTGGAACAGGGGGAGAGTGACCTGGAAAAATGAAAGTGGGTGGAGAACTGTGGGTGCAGGATGGAGGCCAGTGAAATTGGGGGAAATGGCCTTGAGAGTAGATGCCTGTCCAAGTAGAAACACAGCTGTAGTAATTTGATCAGTGCTCCAAAGCAGCCATTGATGCCAACAGTTCAGCTTGTGACCCACCTTGGGGGCCTGAACCCTACGTTGGGAGTGCAGCCATACACTCTCATAAGCCTGCACCAACATTCAATAAGATCATGGCTTAAACTTCAACATCATCTCACCCTTCCTGCCCTCTGTCCATTTTCCTAATTCCCTCAGCACCCAAAAATTTATCAATCTCAGTCATGAATCAAGTCATCAGCTGAGCTTCTCTGGAGGTGAACCCCAAAGATTTACCATCCCAATTGAAGAAGTTGCTCTTTATCTGAATGGCCATCCCCTTTTCCTAGCTCTAGACTCCCCAAACAGTGGAAGGAAACAACCTCTCAGCAGTCACCATCTCATGTCCTCTATCCATTTTATACATTTTAATAAGATCACCTCTAATTGTTTTAAATTCCAAAGAATATAGAACATTAATTCAATCCCTCCTCAAATCATAGCATTCTCTTCCCAGGTATCGATCTAGTGAATCTTTGCTTTCTCCTCATGATTAAACATTGCCTTATTTTGGTAAGGAGCCCAAAACTGTACATACTGTCCACATTGGTTGCATGAAAGCTTGAAAATAATTGCAGCAAGACTTTCTCATTCTTATGCAATGAACACTGCTAACAACCCTTTTAAGGTCCTATTGTTTGTAACTGTCTGATTCATATAGAAGGATCCCCAGTTCTCACTGAATACCAAGCTGTTATGTATGGCACCTCAGAAAAGATTCTGTTTACCCATTTTCTCCATGAAGTGAATAATTTATTACTTCCACACTTATACTCCACCTGCCACCATTTTGCCCAGTCACAATTGGCCTATATCTCATTGCAGAGCATTTGTGTCCTCTTCACAGCTTTACTTTAGCACCTAAAATTCTATCAATAGAGTAGCTTGAAGACCACAAGAAGTAGGAACACAAATAGGCCATTCAGCCCCTCAAGCCTGCTCATGACTGATCCAACATTCCTCACATCCACTTTCCTGTGTTTTCCCTTGATTCTTGATCAAGAATCTATCTCAGCCTTAAACATATACCAAGACACTGCCCCCAAAGCTCTCTGCGGCAAAGATTTCCAAAAACACACACAACACTCAGAAGGAATTCCTTCTTATCTCAATCTTAATTAGTGTCCCTTTATTCTGAGACAATGCTCTCTGGTCCTAGACTCTTCCACCAGGTACTAGAGGCTATCAAATAGTGTATTCTTCTAATTATTCAATATTTAGCATGATCAACAGCATCTTGAGACTAATGTACAGATCTGTCTACACAAAAGTTTTGAATGCATCATATTCACTTGTTATAGCTCAGATGTTATATTTCAGACATCACAATTTGCAGCACAGAAACATTAAAAAGGAAAAATAATCTTCTCCACCTTATTGTTAAGTGAAATCCAGAGGAGATCAGCAACATATTTTTGTTTAAGGAAGCATTTGGTTGGAACATCTCTTTGGCTAAAGTACAAATATACAAGGCATTCTGCAATTTCCCATGGCATTATTCACAGCACATGGGGCGTCACTCTGCTTTGTAAGGACAGATGTGTTATGTCACAAACATACAACTGTTGCAAGAATCATTCTCTGATGGGTTGGATCTGTGTACGAGTGATTGGTTGGATCTGTGTACGAGTGATTGGTTTCTTTAAGACTACAAAATCTAGTAAACTTAGCATTTAGCCAAGTACTATTTAATTGCCACTTTATAAAGGATTGGAATATGCCAGATTTTTTTTTGTTTACTCAGAGTACATCCAGCAATGGGTGTTATGTATGACAGAAGAACAATAGCACGTATTCTCAGCATAGAAAACCTCTGCCTCTGACTCACACCATTTCTTACCTGGAAATGCTTTCATTGGGTGCCTGAAATTGGAAAAACAGGAAGAACATGCAACAGCAAGTGAAGGAGTGGCAGGATAATCAGTTTAGTCCAGGCTTTGAGACAGAGTAGGGCAGAAAAACGTATCCATTTGTCAAGTTGCTGTTTTATTTTAAACTGTAGTGTCTGCCCATTGATTTTTTTTTTTTAAGTATAGCTAAATTAGTTTTACCTTGCTCATATCAGCTGCTAACAAAATGTAAACAGAAAAGTAGAATTCTTGGACCAACCCACTCCAGTCTTATGACATGATTCTGCACACAATTTTTTTGCTGCTCAATTCCATAGCAGAACCAAAATAACAATGGAATAAATAACCTGAAAGATTAAAATTAATCAGCAAAACCATCCAGAGCTGTCTTTAAAAACAACAAAATCAAATTGCTGGAAGAATTGCACAGGTCTGGCAGCATCTGTGGAGAGACACTGGATCCGAAACAGTAACTCATTTCCTCTCCACAGGAGCTGCCAGACCTGCACAATTCTTCCAGAAATTTCCTGATTTTGTTGCTGATTTCTAGCATCCACAGTTCTTTGTTCAGATCTTTCTTTATACTGTCTCGTGTGAATGTTATGTCATTGAGATATTAACCTAGTTTATTGTGGAGCTTTGTACCAAGTCAGAAACACTGAAGTCAGGACTTTTCCCTCCTTAGAGGTGGTGGGGCAGGTGGCAATAAAGGGCACCTGATCCACCAGTGACAGCTTTTAAATGGTCAATTAATGGCCTCAACCCACCTTCAGCCTGATTACCTGCCTTCCAAGCAGGAGAGAAATGTGGCTGCCTTACCAACAGGGAAATCAGAGAGGCCTGTCTGCCATCTTGGTGATGATGCCTCCATTTGCCCCAACCTGGGGGCATGAGGGCAGAGATAGTAGGAACTGCCGATGCTGGAGAATCTGAGATAACAAGGTGTAGAGCTGGATTAACACAGCAGGCTAAGCAGCATCAGAGGAGCAGGAAGGCTGATGTTTTGGGCCTAGACCCTTCTTCAGAAATGGGGGAGGGGAAGGGGGTTCTGAAATAAATAGGGAGGGGGGGAGGCGGATAGAAGATGGATAGAGGAGAAGATAGGTGGAGAGGAGACAGACAGGTCAAAGAGGCGGGGATGGAGCCAGTAAAGGTGAGTGTAGGTGGGGAGGTAGGGAGGAGATAGGTCAGTCCAGGGAGGACGGAGAGGTCAAGGGGGGCGGGATGAGGTTAGTAGGTAGGAGATGGGGGTGTGGCTTGAGGTGGGAGGAGGGGATAGGTTAGGGAGGCAGGGATAGGTTAGGGAGGCAGGGATGAGCTGGGCTGTTTTTGGGATGTGGTAGGAGGGGGAGGGGAGATTTTGAAGCTTGTGAAGACAACATTGATACTATTGGGCTGCAGGGTTCCCAAGCGGAATACGAGTTGCTGTTCCCGCAACCTTCGGGTAGCATTGTTGTGGCACTGCAGGAAGCCCAGGATGGACATGTCGTCTGAGGAATGGGAGGGGGAGTTGAAATGGTTCATGACTGAGAGGTGCTCCCCCTCCCATTCTGCGGACGACATGTCCATCCTGGGCCTCCTGCAGTGCCACAACGATGTTACCCGAAGGTTGCAGGAACAGCAACTCATATTCCGCTTGGGAACCCTGCAGCCCAATGGTATCAATGTGGACTTCACAAGCTTCAAAATCTCCCCTCCCCCTACCACATCCCAAAACCAGCCCAGCTCATCCCCGGCTCCCTAACTTGTTCTTCCTCCCACCTCAAGTCCCACCCCCATCTCCTACCTACTAACCTCATCCCACCCCCCCCTTGACCTGTCCGTCCTCCCTGGACTGACCTATCTCCTCCCTACCTCCCCACCTACACTCACCTTTACTGGCTCCATCCCCACCTCTTTGACCTATCTTCTCTCTCCACCTATCTTCTCTATCCATCTTCTAGCCACCTCCCCCATCCCCCATTTCTGAAGAAGGGTCTAGGCCCGAAACGTCAGCTTTCCTGCTCCTCTGATGCTGCTTGGCCTGCTGTGTTCATCCAGCTCTACACCTTGTTAACTCTATATATGAGGGCAGGTGGGTGATAACTGAGAGGCAACAACCCACCCTTGCCCCCATGCCCCATGAACTCCACCTGATAATGAGCACTACCTTCCCTCCACCGGAAAAAAAACCCACTTTCTTCCTTGTTGTCCTTTATAACCGCTCAGTACTCCAGTGCCCAGAGACTTCCTGCCTCTGATTGGCTGGCAGCTTCTGACAGGGCAGGACTTCAGGTCAATGGACCTGATAGGCCGAGAAGCCCACCAGTCAGCTCTTGCTGATTGGGGTGGTGGAACAAGGTGGTAGCGACCCCAACCCCCAAAGACACCCACCCCCGTACTTAGCACAGAGAGCACAAAATGTTGGCTTGGATGTGAATGCATCTTAAATGTGATAGCTAGGGGATGTTTTGGTAAAACAGCATATAAATCTTGTATATGTTAGGTCCACACTGAATATTCAACAATGTCAAAATATAACAAATATGACTGAATGTACAACTAAATGAAACTACATTCAAATAAAGTTTTTGCTATTAATGTGATATTTTAAGCAAAGAATTCAAACAAAGGTTTATTCCAGGAGAGATTTAAAATGGTACATATCTTTTTTCGTCTGGGAGCCTGGAATCTTTTGTGTTTTTCTGAGCATTCAGTCCTTTCCAAAATTATTCTTTCATTTGTTCTCAGGGATGTATAGAGGTTATAGCGAGGTCAACATTTATTGCCCAACCCCAAGCTGCTTCAGTGCCAAGAGAATGTACTTTGCATGGAATCAACAAGCTACTCACAAGAAGTGTCCCTTTAGGAACTGTACACATGCAGCCCTCTGGCAAATTTAAAGGGATCATGCAGCATAACAAATAAATTGCTCACAGCGAAAGGGTATTAGAGGGAACATTTTTTTTAAAAAACATGTTTGGATGCCCCTAAGTAGGCAGCAGTGCTTTAACCATTTGTGTGTTGTAAGACTGCTAAGACCCTTTCTATCCTTATCAACAGGAGTGCTAACCTGCTGTCACATAACTTCCTTACCCTGAGAAAGTTGTACCTGACCTTGATAGGCAGCAGTGGTAGTGGAGGTCCCACAATAGCAGACAATTCCAGGGTGTTGCCCAGTAATGATGAAGATAGGGCAAAATATGTAAAACCAAGTATGGTATGTGAGTCAGAGGGAATGTTGGAGCCCCTGCTGGTCAAAATCGCTAAATCTGAAGATTGTGGGTTCCTGTGAAAGGTCATGGAAATGAATTGTTACCTTTGTCTTTCGCTGCCTCTCTAGATGCTGTCAGACCTGCTGAATGTTTCCAATTTTTTTCCCTTTTTAGTTTGGATTTCCAGCCTCTGGAGTATTTTCCTCTTGGATGCTTATTGAGTTCCTGTACTCCATGTTCTACAGAGGATGACTAACCGCCACAATTTTGTTTTTCTTTATTCATTCACTGGATGAGGGTGGCGCTAGCTTGGCTGCATTTATTGCCCATCCCTAATTGCCCAGAGGGCAGATAAGAGTCAACCACATTGCTGTGAGTCTGGAGTCACATGTAGCCAGACCAGGTAAGGATGGCAGTTTCCTTCCCTAAAGGATATTAGTGAATCAGATGGGTTTTTTTCCAACAATCGACAATGGATTCACGGTCATCATTAGATTCTAGGGCATCACCTCCCCTAAGTGGAGAGGAGGAAGTATGAATCCAAGAACACCAGAGTCAGATAAGCAAACATGCTGGATGTTATCAAGGTTCTTGAATGTTACCTTCTTGACAAGTGATGATTATCCATTAGACTCCTAACTAGGACCTTGTAGATGACATTGATACTCTGAGAGGTCACCATCACAACATAAGAATTACGAGCAGACTAGGCCATCACACTCCTCTGGCCTGCACTTTTACACAACGAGTGGTTCGTGTGTGGACTGAACTCCCAGAAGAAGTGGTGGATGTGGGTGCAGTTACAATTTTCAAAAAACATTTGGATAAGTTCATGAATAAGAAACGATTGGAGGGAAATGTGCCAAGCGCAGGTAGGTGGGTTAGTTTACTTCGGGATTATGGTCGGCATGGACTAATTGAACCGAAGGGTCTGTTTGCATGCTGTATGGCTCCACAACTGATTTCCACGGTCCTGTCTAGCCCTATATCATCTGACTCCCTTGTCAGTCAGAAATCTAACTCAGCCTTAAAAGTATTCAATGACCAGTGCTTTGTAGGAAAGACAATTCCACAGTCTATTGGCCTGCAGAGAGGAAACACTTCTCCTCATCCCTTCTTAACTGGGAGACTAACTTAGTTGACATTACTTACTTGAGGAACTACTGTAACAGTAATTCTGGGACTATGATCGTTACCCTGTGATAATGACAACCAACTTCATTTATGGCACTTATGAATGTAGCCACCAAAAGTTTTCCCATTAACCCATGTTATTCTCCTACTTTTATAGGGTTCCTTGACACCCTTTTCTGCTCCGGCCCAAATGCTTCTTTTTCAGGGCTCTCTGGGCTCTGTCTGCACCTATCTGCTCACTCCTTCACCATCCTGTTCCCCCAACCTCCATTCCACTCCCGAATCCCTGTCATCAAGATAAATACCACTTTGCCCTGAAGCCATCTGTTCTGAAAAAGGGTCACTGGACTTGAAATATTAATTCTGTTTCTTTCTCCACAGATGCTGCCAGATCTGCTGAGTTTCTCCAGCACTTTCTGTTTTTGTTTCAGAATTCCAGCATTTGCAGTTCTTTGTTTTGTTTTATTTTAGTATTCATTTTTAAAATTTCTTTTTGCCATATAGTGATTTCTCTATATTTCAAATTGATAGCTTGATCTCGAACATAGAACATAGAACAGTACAGAACAGGCTCTTCGGCCCACTTTTACACTAATCCTCAGGTCTATCTAACCTCCACCCCTACCTTATACTATCATCCATGGTCTGCCTATCTAATAGCCGCTTAAATGCCCCTAATGAGGCCGACTCCACTACCCTCTCTGGCAACACATTCCACACCCCTACCACTCTCTGAGTAAAGAACCTACCTCTGACGTCTCGCCTATGTCTACCTCCATTCACTTTAAAACTATGCCCCCTCGTAATAGCTACCTCCACCCTAGGAAAAAGTCTCTGGCTGTCCATTCTATCTATACCTCTTTCTATACCTCTGATCATTTTGTACACCTTTATCAAGTCACCTCTCATCCTTCGTCATTCTAAACAGAAAAGCCCTTGCTCTCTCAACCTTTCCTCGTAAGACCTTCCCTCCATTCCAGGCAACATCCTGGTAAATCTCCTCTGCACCTTTTCCAATGCTTCCACATCTTTCCTGTAATAAGGCGACCAGAACTGGACACAATACTCCAGATGTGGCCAAACCAGGCTTTTGTATAGCTGAAGCATAACTTCACGGCTCTTGAACTCAATCCCTCTATTAATGAAAGCTAACTCACCATATGCCTTCTTAACAACTCTATCACCTGGGTGGCAGCTTTCAGGGAACTATGGACATGAACCCCAAGATCCCTCTGCTCCTCCACACTGCCATGAATCTTTCCATTAACCCTGTATTCTGCTTTCAATTTTGTCCTTCCAAAATGAATCGCCTCACACTTTTCAGGGTTAAACTCCATCTGCCACTTCTCAGCCCAGCTCTGCATCCTATCAATGTCCCTTTGTAACCTAGAACAGCCCTCTGCACTATTCACAACTCAACCCACCTTCATATCGTCCGCGAACTTGCTAATCCACCCTTCCACTCCTTCATCCAAATCATTTACAAAAATCACAAATAGAAGAGGACCCAGAACAGATCCTTGTGGTACACCACTCGTAACTGAGCACCATGTTGAATATTTTCCGTCCACTATCACCCAAAGTCTTCTAAGGGTCAGCCAATTCTGAATCCAATCTGCCACATTTCCCCCTATCCCATGCCTCCTTACCTTCTGCATGAGCCTACCATGGGGAACTTTATCAAACAACTTACTTAAATCTATGTATACCACATCGACTCCTCTACCTTCATCCATGTGTTTGGTCACCTCTTCAAAGAATTCATTAAGGTTTGTGAGGCATGATCTACCCCTCACAAATCCATGCTGACTATCATGAATCAAACTGTGCCTTTCCAAGTGATCATAAATCCTATCTCTTAGAGCCCTTTCCAATAATTTGCCCACCACTCATGTAACACTAACTGGCCTGTAATTTCTGGGGTTATCCCTATTCCCTTTTTTGAACAAAGGAATGACATTTGCCTCTCTCCAATCTTCCGGCACTATACCCGTGGACAGTTAGGACGAAAAGATCATCGCCAAAGGCCCTGCAATCTCTTCCCACGTTTCCCATGGAATCCTTGGAGAAACCCCATCAGGCCCGGGGGGCTTATCTATCTTCAAGTTCCTCAAAATTCCTAGTACATCTTCCTTACTAACATTGACCTCCTCTAGCCTACCAGCCTGTTTCACACTGTGCTTCTCTACAACTAGGTCCCTCACAGTTGTGAATACCGAAGAAAAGTATTCATTAAGGACCACTCCTATCTCTTTAGGCTCCGTGCACAAATTCCCTTTATAATCCTTGATCGGCCCTACCCTTTCACGTATATGTAAAAAGCCTTGGAGTTTTCCTTGATCCTATCTGCCAAGGTTTTGTCATGCGCCCCCCCATATCACCCTATGTTTGTTTTGAAGCATACATATGTACTCCTATCTAAGAGAATATTGAGTAAATCAGAAACTTGGACACACACTAGCAAACACCTATCATAGATCATTAAAAATAATCAGAATAGATAACAGGGTTGAGGAGTGGGAGCATATGACAGAAGCACAATACATATTGAGAGAGTACTTGCACAAAACTTACACACTAAACATGATCATGTTTGCTATTTTTTTCTATTTCTTTATAATATAATTCATGAGATAAAACAGCTGATTGTTTTGTGTGCAGCAATTTCCAAAAGGTAGATAGAAGGCACATAGAAAGCTGTTCTACTTCCAAATGTTTAATTCAGAAGCAAAGGAGATTCCAAATCACATTGAAGGTGCTGACATTTTGCATTGTTAATTGGTTTTAGTGAATCTGAAAACACATCAGTCTTGCAAATTGTCTGTGAGATACTAAGGTAGAGATGTTCCATATTATTTATGAAATTCTTTCCTTTACTGTTTTGGCAGAAACATTAACAGCCTCTGGTAAAATAATGCAGGAAGGAATTTCGTTTGAGGCGATTGAGGTCTTTCCTTCTAGTATCTAACGGCATAATTTCAAGGCTGTTATTTGTAAATATAATTGTGGATTTGCTAAAGCTCATGAACAGTGGAAAAGGCAAAGCTTTGGTGCTGGTGCCTCTATGATTTATCATATTGCCATGCCTTAGTTTAAAGGTTAATAGTGCACAGTGAATAGAAGTTCTGTGAATTTTCCTTTTAATTGAAGATAGCTTGCAGAAGTTAATTCTAGTGAGGCTTTTAAGCCACTGCAAATGAAAGATTCTGCTTTCCATGTATGTCAAAGCTGTCATGTGGTAATGCTGACCATGCATTTCCTGTCAACATTTTCCGCTATAAATTCTTATGTCCTTATTTGTAATGGAAAGTGCCTATGTAAATGTGTCACGCAATAATTACATTCCCCCTTCCACACTAATGGAGACATGGTGGAGGCAGGGGTGAAGAGTGTAATTACAGGGTGTACAGATGCAATTTGCATTATGAACAAGAGAATATGAATTTACAATTGACCTATAAAATGTGCACATAATTATGAGTTATAAATGGAGTTAAATTGAGCTGGCAAACACTGCAAATGACCAATGTATTCTAAACCTACTTCACTTGAAGGCTACATGTGATCTCAATTCCCCCTGTGCAACACCAGAAGAGATTTATTGGTATATTTCTTGAAGATTTCTGGGGAGACAGTCAAAAGAAAAATCTTTGGGTGTACCTTTCAATTGTAAGAAAAAAAACTGTGGAATGATACAGAATTTCCTTGCAAAGAAATTTCCCCAACACTGTAGAGAATAAT